ATGTTTTATTTTCGTGAATTGATTCAAGTTAAACATGTGAGCTATTGTGCACAGAATCACTTGCTCAGTGTTATCATGTCTTTTTTGTCAGAACCAAAGATTTCAATTTTATTTCTTCGTGGGATTGTGAATTCAGACTTATGAACTGTAACTTAACAACTGTTCAATCAATATTCATTATTATTAAATGGTTTCCTAACTAACGTCACTCATCAACATATTTTATCATCAAATATTTAAATTTTTGGACGGTTTTCAAGATATTTCTTTAGTAATTTTATTCGCACATCATCATTTGGACAGGTTGGGTCAGCTTATTCAATTAAACTAGTTTTTCTAAATAAATAAGTGAAAATGTTCAATATGAGGTTAAGTATTTAAGTAATGTAATCTTGGAATGTTCATTACTGAGAAGCACCTGAGAAATATTTTCTGCTATAGGGAGATAAGAAGGGTTGTTTAATTTCGTGGTTCTTTTACTTAATTACTTACTTACGCCTGTTACTCCCAGTGGAGCATACACCGCCAACCAGCATTTTCTAACCCACTACGTCCCCGGCCTTCCTTTCCAGTTCTATCCAAGCGTTGTTCATCCTTTTCATGTCAGTCTCCATTTCTCGACGTAATGTGTTCTTTGGTCTTCCTCTTCTGCTTTGGCCTTCAGGATTCCAAGTGAGGGCTTGCCTTGTGACACAGTTGGGTGCTTTCCTCAATGTGTGTCATATCCACTTCTAGCGCTTCTTCCTGATTTCTTCCTCCGCTAAGATCTGGTTTGTTCTCTTCCATAGTAGGTTGTTGCTAATGGTAACAGGCCGACGGATCTGAAGTATTTTGTATAGCCAGCTGTTAAGAAACACTTGTATCTCCTAGATGATGGCTTTCGTGGTTCTACAAGTTTCCGCCCCATACAGTAGAACTGTCTTGACATTTGTATTGAAAATTCTGACCTTGGTCCTATAACACCGGCTTGCTTTAGTTAAACAACTAATGAAAACCAGGAAAAATTTGACGAATATTTCGTATTGGTATGAGACTCCACAGTAATCACAGTATACTAGATGTGACATCAATATCTTTTTAGATGAGTGGATGCCTCAAAGGAGTCTTATACTAACACATAACATTTGTTTAGTGCTTTCTGATTTGCAATAGCTATCTAACTAAAGTGAGTTCATAATGTTAATTTACACAACTGAAAACTATATTCTCATTCAACATTTATGACGTCAAACACTATTCATTGCAATAATCTATAATCTTAGTACCCGCCTATTATTCAACATTTCAACTAATCTTCAGATAAAGAATAATAATGATTGACACGATAACGATTTTCTATTAATATCTAATGGATCAACAAATAATACATAATATATATATCTATGTGAAATAACTATTCAAATACCTTTTTATGTATATATTTACATCATTCAATAAAACTTTTATTTTAGCAGCAAAATAAATAAAACATATGAATTAAAACAAACAATCTTCCGAAATAAGTAATATACACTACTTATTCATGAAAAACAGTAGTCTATTCACCATTTTAATTTATCATAAACTATATTTTACTGGGTTACCTCTCAGATTAGTTATTAATCGGTAACCGATGTCGAGTTCATATCACTGATATGATATGATTGATCAAGTTACAGTGTAGCCACTAAGTGTATTATATTTTCATTACTAGCTGGATAATGATTTCCAGTCAACTATCTTCAATTATTTAATATCAGGTTTGTATATAATATACATTTTTAGAATAACTGATGTTTAAAGTGAGGTGGGAAGAAAATTATTTATGTAATATATAAATTGTTAGAAACTCCACAATATTAATAACTCACTACTTTATAATAGACTGAAATAAGGATCTTAGGTGATATTAGTAACCATAATACTATTTAACCATATAGATTGAATTGACTAATAATCACATGACGCCAACTTCATGAAACTAAGACAATTTTCTTTATTTTCTGAGAAGGTTTATCACGGTACATCTATACTATAATTTTTTAAATAGTTGTATACACTTAAAGACTTCTAGAGTAGAGTTCAAATAAATACGGTTTAAACATTAATAAAATATTAATTCATTATTATTTGGTTTTGTACTTGACCTAAATGTCTAATCCATAGAGTATCAGCATTTCGTCAAAACAGTCAAACATGTTGCAGTTGGTAACCAAAGTGGGTTTGTAAGTCAATCATCCTCTTAAGATCTTTGTGTTGTTGTTTTTTTTTTTTTTTGCAGCACTAGTTCAGTATTAATGTCATCCAACTCATTCAGGTAAACTTTCTCTACTTACCAATTTGGTTTAAACATTGAGCATCTGCTATATTAATGAATCATCAAAATTTGTTACTGATTTATAAGTTATTTATATCGCTTTTTATTGTATTTATTGATAAGTATCAAGATCAGTATTAGCTATTTACGTTGAGTCGGCTTTCCGAGAACTGCAACGGAGCCTCCAGAGGCCCTAAAGGAGCCGAAGAGTCCTAGTCAATCAGATCATGATGGAGCTTTCTAGAATATCAACGTGGCGTACTGCTATTGGTCAGTAGTATAATATGTCTTTTAGCGGATTGTCCAGAATATGATGTTGATTTAACAAACGTTAACATCCATAAATACCAGTGTTTTTCTGTACAAAAATGAACCTTGGAGTAAAGTACTTCGCGCATACTTTGCGTCTTCTCTCTCGTGTTCAGGTTGCTGTATAGTTCTAGCTTAGGGGTTACAGAATCGAATAAAGCGTTCAAATTAACAAGACTTATCGATTTAACTTCTATTCTTTATTACTGAAGATGAAAGTGTCCAGGATTATTTTATTAATTCCGTTTTTATAGTAATAGTCTTCAGTTTGTTACAACAGACTAATCAACTTCTCTATAATAATAAAGCTATTATCTCATATCACTACGCACTGGTAGTGTCTTCAGTTATTCAATGAATAATATTATATACCATGAAAGAAGTACTGACTAACAGTTATAGTTTAAGAACGATCAGGAAATAAGTTTAAAAGTAGTCCTTTGACAGTAAAATACATTTAATTTCAGTCTATATAATATTCATTAACAAAATTGTTCGCTCAAAATCTATTTCATATCATAAACTGATATACATTGAAGAACTATCTAAAACCTTGATATAATCAATAGTAAACATTATCAACACCGGGAGACTTCGACCTAAAGGTCTGATCCGTAAGGCAGTGGAGCGACGTCAGAAGATTCAGTCCCTTGGTAACCGGTGACCAATAATCAGTTCATACGTCAATTGTTCCCTCGGGATCATGGAGCCCATGTGCACCATCGGTTCGGAATAAGGGTTTCCCAACTCCCCTAGGCCGATCCTCCATATCCACCAACTCAGTTAGAGCGTCAGACATTCGCTTTTCATCCTTTCAATTTCTCAAACAACATCCCGGCCGCGAGAAGTCAGTGAGTAGGACTTCTGTGGCAGTGGTTGTATGCACATGGCCATCTGAAAGCATTTCGAGAGGGACAACTGACTCACCCCACTCTCGGCCGTACCAGGGCATTTGGAGATACATAAAATCCTATAAACAAAACCTATTACGACTAGTAGTCAGTTAAACGCGAATTTTTTCAATTAAATACGATTGTTTGATAAGTGATATTTTTGCTTAGGAAACATCTAAATTTATAACTATACAACTCATCAAGGTTATTTCATTAAACATGAATTTATATATCCGTTTGTAGTTATTATGTGTTGACACTAAATAATTAGCATAACTTCAGACCGTCTAAAATAGTCCAAGTATATACATATTCATGGATTAAATTAAAATCCACTGCATTTCTATTGAATTTAGTAAGTCATATGTCCCTCAAGGTCAGTAAATGATTGATTGTCTCTTTTTACTGTAACATGCTACATATATGCAAATATATATGAATTAATTTGCATGTTATTTATTAGTAGTCATTTGTTTTGAGTCCACAAAGTCCACTAAATCTAGTATATCAAGTACAGATTATTTGTAAAATAATAAGAAGCATTTTTATTTGATGATAATATGTAGTGATAGAATGGTATGACTGATCATGAAGTAAGCTAAATTTCTAAGGGGAGCTATAGATACTTGAAAAAAACAATTATTTCTAATAATTGAGATCGTGAACTGGTCAATGTTAGATCATCACTGAAAACCTGGAGACCCTGGACGACCGTTTCGTTCTAGTATCGGATTCCTCATCCGTGCGCACCCACGATCGCGCAAGCGGGACTCAAAACCGAAACCTTCGATCTCTCGACCACTGTACCAGCACCCAGGGGTATCAATGTTCAGCTTCAACCAACTCACAATATTGCGCGATCATTTTATTTAAATATAATTGAATCAAACAATTTCATCAAATGAAAATCTACATAAATTGTTAATTCATTAGGAAATCAATGGAGATTGTTTCACCAACACAACAAAGGTTCATCTCTTTCCCTAATGTTTTCTGTCATACGTCATAATGGAATCTGGATCTTCATACCATTGAAAGCAAAAACAAAAATCTCATTTTGTTTAGAACATACTGGTTGCTAATCATATCAAGACTCGAATCCAATAGCTATTGTTATGAATATCACAGCTTCAATGATTTAGTCCTAAACAACAACAGTATAATAAAAACACTCACAAGATATTGGAAGCTGTCACGATTTATCAACCCTATGGATAACACCATCTAAACGTTGATTACTATGTTCAAGTTTCATTAGTAACATTAAAATTGAAATACAAATACATTCAACTAACAAGTTCTGAATAGGCCCCCAAATATATATCTTGAATTCAACCTCTAGTTACCATATATAATCGAATCAACTTGTTAGTGCTTCATTTGAAGAAGAGTTGGGTTTTTTTAGTTGCTTTGACAATTTAGTATTAAAGAAATTGTAAAAAAAAACTTACAACAATAGCAATCAAATTGGCAGGATGAAAAACAAACAAAAGAAAACTTACGTAAATCACATGTGAATTATGTTTGTCCCATGTTTGTTCAAATTCTTTTTGTGCAACAATATGACAATTAATTGTAGATTCTAATCGATCATTATTACTACTGCTGGCGTCATTAGATACAGTATTATTATTATCATTATTAATAGATTGAGATATAACTGAATGTTGTTGAGATGATAAATTCAGTTTGGAAATTTCTGAATACGATAAAGAAGTAGACATAGTATGGTTTGAAGGTGCTTTAAAGGAGTAAAAGAGAAGAAAAAAATGAGTAGTTAAGAATGAACAGCGCGGTGAGAATGTTACTGTAGATAATAGTTACTCAGCAATATAATTAGTTTGGTATGATATCAAAGGCAATTATTAAGTCTAAACTATCTTGTAACGAAAATTAACTATGATATCGTTGAATGCTTCTACGTGAAGAAGAGATTCAAATATAAACGAAAACAATATGACTGTCTTACCCTAATTACCAATACTCATTCCTGGTACCTACTGACAAGCATGAACTAAAAGATAATTACTTCTGATTAACATTTATATATAATCTACGACCAACTGTTTAGCTATTTGTTGAATAACTGTTAGATGAATACTATGGGATCTTCTTTTTCATTCTAGAATAATTTACATAGTGAAAGAATAATACACAACCCACACAGATAAATTAGTTGGATATCAACAAAAATTAATGTAATGTGTAAAAAAGTTACTAATTGACCGAATATTTATGCTCGAAATATTTGGTTCCAGTATATGATCGTATATAGATGTGTAATACCTCCATAATCGTCTACTTTAATCGATTAAGCCTTACTGGAAAGAAGGACGTTATTTTCGTTATGTTGGAGTGGTATAAAAGATACTAAAGAATGATGTTTATACATTAAGCTACTAGTTACTGATTTTAAACTTAAGCCTGTCTCATAATAACTACTATTAGTAGTCGTAGACTTCGAGTGACATGGTCCAGAATCATTCACAATAACTCAAATGTTTTTGCTGTTTATTTTCTAAAACTTGAATTCCAGTATTACTTTATATATATCTAGCCAATATATCTTTTTAAATCTCATTCTTAATGCTTAGTCTCTCTCTCATCACTGTCACTACATTATTCCAATCTCTTTTGTTATTCCCCTTATTAATTTTTTCTTGTTGTACTAATAGGCTGTAGTAGCTTGAGGTAATGAACATCTATGTCAAGCTCTACGTTGATGATGACGAACTAATTGACTAGTATAATCTGTGAAACATTTTGATGACTATGTACTTAACAATAATTCTGATTACGTGTTGACATTACCCCAGAAATTATAGAAAACCAAGAATAGCTAGTGACAACTTTCATCCTGGATTGGAATTTTTCAATAAATTGCATCATCGATTATTTCATTTGTTACATCAGTCAGACTTAGCGATTCAATCTCTCAAAGAATAACAGCTACTTGAGCATTTACATCTCCCCAATTTTAAGTCATCTACAAACGACCTAGCCTCATTAGGCTTATATCATAATGAAGATATTAGTCTATCAATATGTAAGGCAATGTAGAACCTATCACAAACATAAATTACTATTAGATATTAGGTGACATAACTCAAAATCTGTAACAATGGTGAAATCGCAGTACATTTAATATTTATCAGAAATCTTGAACTCATTGTCATTGTTTACTAATATTCAACAATCTTAATCGTGATTTTGGTAACATACTTCTTATATTTTTGAGTTTTCCATATACTTTTTCCTGTTCTTCTTTTCTCGGATTAATTTTTCGCTTCATTATTTTATTATTTACAACGTATGACAACTTAAACTGATACGTATATTCATGATACATTCTATATTATCTATGACTGACTGACTGACTAGCTAATTGACATTGTGATGACTTGAATATTTTCAATGATAACTAACTACTATATATAAGCAATCATGATCTATCAAAACATATATATATTAAAAAGAAACAAAATAAGAATATAAGATGAAATGTTTGGTTGTTTGTTTGTTTATTTGTTTTTTCTCTTGGCATGAATTAACCATAACTGTACACTTATTACTGGGGGACGGATAGTGTTTTCACCTTGAAATCATATAATTTATTTACATGTATAAATGTGTATCTACATAGTATGTCACATAGAGAATTATAGCTGTTTTGACACTTTTAATGTCAAGGCATTAAAACAAAAACTTTTAAAATTTGTATTGTACATCAGAAAACTAATGTTACTAGTGACTACAGCAATTACAAAAATATTTTTTTCTTAATATTTAGTTAAAATATTAATGACGGATAACATTTTTTTTAAAAGAATCGGAAATAATAAGGCTGACAAATTGTTAGGTTCAGAAGGGGTTTTGTGGATATTATAATAATTCGAATAGTTGAGATCATGAGTCAGTTGAAGCTAGACCGCTATGGAAAACATAGAAGCACTAGACGGCTGTTTCATCCCAATGCGGGAATCCTCAGTGACAGTGTGCATCCACAATCTCGCCTCGCGAGATTCGAATCCAGAACCTATCAGTCTCGCGCTCCCAGGTTTTCTATGGTGGCCTAGCGTCAATTGACCCATGATCTCGACTATTAAAATTGTTAGTTGTTATCGTCAAATGAAAAAATATTTTATGAAGAGACCTTTGTATATCCTACGAAAGTAATTTTTATAACCATCAAAATGATAACGATTGATGAAACATTGAAAATTAATGAGCACAGAACAACTGTTTCAAAATCCTGGTTTAAAATTTATCAACAGTGAAGCTACGAATTTTCCATTGGCTAATGAAAGTTTATGATAAATATTATTTCTAGAAAATATAAAAGAAGGCTCCATTTAATTTGGAAATAATCAAATCGTATCACTAGTGTTCAACTATCAGATAAAGTTTTTAAAGTTCTGTTGTGAATTGCATGATCAGTCAAGTCGAATGTAAAATAGTAACTCATAAATAACAATGTACATCATGAATTAAGTTTCTGGGTAAGTTATTTATAAAAGGATCATGCTCAACGCTAGATGTGGTCTCATTTGAAGTCAGAAATGTTTACTCTTGAATGATCCCATATGAGTTTTCAAAAAACCCTTCAGTCAAATTCAGTTTGCGATAAATATTGCTGACAAAGACAATCTACTTAGTGAAACATATTTTACATAAAATTAAGTCAATTTCGCTTATAAATCTTTTTTCGAAATAAAAATTCAAATTCAAGCATATAAATAAACACGTCGGTTTACAACATTACTGTTTATCCCCTTATGATGTTCCTAGATCCGCACTTCGAATTAACCACATCTACAGAGGATTAAATACTTACATAACAATTTAAATGACATGGTAGACTGTTAAATCTCATTTGCCATAAATAATTTAGTTTCCAACCATAATAACAGTAAGGATGGATAGTGGCTAGCAGTGAAATCCAGGATGTGCATTTCGTCCTATTTGGGACTCGTTACCTGAACGTACCTGTATTCACTCCAGGACTCGAACCCAGTGCCGTTCGCTTCAAACGCAATCGTCTAAATTTGCAGGGGTTGAACTTCTACCGGGAGGTTCACTTTTTGACCTAGAATATGCCAATGACATAGTTCTATTTGGTGAAGACGCTGACAAAATGCAGAGTCTTCTGACCACTCTAAGCAACAATCCAAGCATGTTCGGGATGCGATTCTCCCCCTCGAAATGCAAAATGTTGCTTCAGGATTGGGTTGCATTGACACCCGAACTAATGATAGGGAGTGAAGTAATTGGGCGTGTCGACCGCTTCACTTATCTGGGAAGTCTCATCAGCCCTTGTGGTCTGGTTTGCGACGAAATCTCAGCACGGATACAGAAGGCTCGACTAACTTTTACCAACTTGCGTCATTTATGGCGTAGGCGAGATATCCGTCTATTAACTAAAGGACAGGTTTACTGCGCAGCAGTTCGTTCCGTCCTACTTTACGGCAGTGAAACATGGCCGGTAAGAGTAGAGGATATTCGTAGGTTACCAGTATTCGATCATAGGTATCGTCGAAGCATTGCTTGTATATTCTGGGACCATCGAGTAAGTAATGCAGTTGTTGGGAAATGGGTTGGGGACCGCGAGATGATAGCAACCGATGGTTAGAGACCCTGAATGAAATGGCTCAAAATCGTTTGCAATGGCGCAGGTGCATCCACTCTTTGTGTTCTCCTAAATTCTAATCTTCTGAATTCTTCATGTCCCTTTCTTTTTTCTCCTTTCAAATTTATTTCACTGTATTATACTCTTTGAATAACATCTTCAAACCCTAATTTTTCTGATTACAGCTTATAATTTTACTACATCTAGCACTACGGGATTTGAATCGACCACTACATCTCTGTGCTAATGTGGTGTGGCAACTCGAACTGATTTACGTACGTACGAAGTTCTACGTTGTTACTGACTGACTGACTGACTGTGTTATCCACTTAGCTACTGAGTCGTGATAGCCACTAGCTTGTGCAATAGGGTGACGTTCGAATTCACTTGGTGTTGTTTTACTTGTATCTTCCCATTGTTATTTAGGATTTCACTGCTAGCCACTATCCATCTTTGCTTAAAAAAGCTTTTGGCTTAAGGCTATATCGAGGCAATCCGCACAGGATGTACATATGCCAACAAGAGATTGATCAGTTCAGTCCTAAATAATAATGGGAAGATACGAGTAAAACAACATCAAGTGAACATAATAATAGTTATTGTTATTATTAAAATACAATTGAATTTGATTTTATATGATTCTCAAAGTTCATGAGTCGATCTAAGCTAGACAACCACTGAAAACTTAGAAGCATTGGACTATCGTTTTGTCCTAGTACGGGACTCCTCAACAGAGCGAATCTACGTCGCCGCACCAAAGGGACTCAAAACTGGAACCTTAAATCTCACACCTGAACACTTGACCTGTGGACCACTGAACCGGCATCCAGCGGCCGTGATTTTCAACTTCAATCAATCCATGATCTTGAGGAACCCCCCATCCATTGTTTGGGGTAGATAACTGTCTCTCACCCGACACGGATTGATCTCCACTGATCACGAGTTCTCGCTAGGACTCCATGAAATCCATCTTGAAGCTAGTCAATAGTGAGTACATGATTATTATTAGGATGGGAATTTATGAAGAATGTAGTAATTTTGATAGTCGAACTCATGAGTCATCCTAAGCTAGACCACCAATGAAAACCTGAACGACGTACCGGATGATTTATTAAACATCTTTATTCATCAGAAACATATATATAGTCTTCATTATTTGGAGGCAGTAAAGGTGTCTATGACTTTGGAAAAAATACATAACTCGTACCTACACAAGTCTAACTTAACAATATTATCAGTAAGTTATTACAGATACGAGCTTTCTTCAAATTTATTGTATCAGGTAATTTCTGAGCAATAAAATCAGATATTTTTTCGGAGGAAAGTTAAATGTTCTATAATAGTAGATTGAAAATCTACTAAATAAAAACTTTTAATGATTTCATTCTTATTATCATAGAACTCACTTGTTAATCTTCACTATAATCTTACTCAACCTGTTATTATTGGTTAGCGTTTCTTTAGTGAGTTGGTTTTCTGCGGGATGAGGCAGCTAACCCCATCCCCAACCCTCCTCCTTTATCCGGGCTTGGGACCGGCAGTAGCCCCCGGAGGAACTCCAGGCGGAGAATATATATATATATATATCGAGTAGAAGTGTATCAAACTAAAACTGATCCATTTCTACTAGAATATCTTTATTTAACGTGAATAAGAATCCATTGAAGACATTAATATAATAATACCAATTTGAACAATTAAATCCTTGTTACTAATCTATATTTAAATGTAATCGATGATCAGGGCTAAGTAACAATTCACTTACATAAAGTTATTTCATGTTTCAACGCAAAAAAAGGATTAATTAACTACATATTGTTCTATGTATATTGAATATGATTCCATCTTTGCAACTAGAATTAATCTATAGTAAAATTTCAAAAAAATCTAGAGTGATTACTAACTTCACAGGAAACATTGAAAAATGGTTAAGTAATGTATTTAATCTGTCTGATAAAACAATGTTCATAGTTAATTCAATGAAAAAACCCATCTATTTTATGAAGATATTCATTGAATAAAACTCTTAATCACAATAGATACTCATCATATAGTTTATAACCAGTATAATATTCATACGAATGAAAAGATACATCACATAATATGAATATCTATTCAAGTTAATAAACAAAATAAATCAGTCCAATTTAACTACTTCATAAGTTCTAATAATTATTTAACTGACATATAGAAATGCATTCTTCGCTTCTTCTCTTTTTAAAAAAAAGTGAGATAGAAAGGCCTTATCGAGGTAAAATGTTCATGTTCCTTTTCTTTAATATATATATATATATATATATATATATATATATATATATATATATATATATTGTATTCCATCTCTGTTGTAGGTAAACATTCCAACTAACTATTTCTGTGTTTGCATAACCACAGAAAAATTACTTATTCCATCATTTGCTTATTTCATTTCACTCTCCGCTGTAAATAATGATCATCTAATGTTCTATTTTCTTTTAGTACTATCATAATTTATCAATGAAATATTATAAGTGGTAATGTGTTTGTTTGCTTGTTTGTATTATTATTATTGTTGCTATGTTCTTCATTCCATTTTTCTTATATTTTTATTTAACATTTAGTTAAAATGGAGGTTTCTTCTCTTAATATTCACTAGTTTTTGCAGATTAAGTGAATTTCTTTCTTTTTTTTGTAAATAAGGATGACAGAGAAATAATGGTATTAGAGAATATGGATGGGAAGGAAGTAAATTATCGTTTATGTATACACAGGCGAACAGGTGATTAATAAAAGCATATTAAAACAACAAACTCTATACATGTGTGAAAGTAGAAGAAATAATGTAGAGACTTAATATTAAACAAAATAAACCCATAAACGATGTACATAAACAAAAGAATGTTGAAGGTTTACCTTGACAATATGATGAATAACGTTGGTCTGGATGAGAATTTCGATGTACCAATGGTTCATTTGTATAAATGGTAGAAGAAGGAGAAGAGGAACAAATTAGGGATGTTGTAATTGGTGTATGATGATGAGAAATTTTTACAAATGAATTGGAATTATGATTAGGAGTACTACTGCATGTAGTTATATGATCAGATGAATGTCTTTCAATACTGTTTAACTGATCACTGTTTCTAAAAATAAATTGAAAATAATAATAAAAAATGATCATTGTTGATTTGTTTACAAAAAGGTAGTATTTAATTCTTTCGTTATTAAATATATTCAATAAATTTATTTATTTACTTATTTATATCAAAAGGGATTTTTGTGAATATTATTGTAATTTGAGATCATGAGTCAATTGAAGCTAGACCACTATGGTAAAACCTGGAAGCACTGGACAGCCGTTTCCTCCAATTGTGGGACTCCTCAGAAGTGTCCATCCACGATCCTGCCTTGCGAGATTCTAACCTAGAACTTATCAGTCTCACAATGGTGGATGTTTAGCTCAATTTTGTGGGTTAGTTAAAGTTAGATATTAACACCGTTGGATACCGGCCGGATCAGTGGTCTAGTGGTTAAGCGCTCGCGAGCGAGACTGATAGGTCCTCAGTTCGAATCTCGAGGGGCGGGATCGTGGGTGCACACTGCTGAGGAGTCCCGCAATGGGACGAAATGACCGTCCGGTGCTTCCACGTTTTCCGTGGTGGTCTAGCTTCAATTGACTCATGATCTCAACTATTGAAATTATTTACTTATTTGCCAATTGCTGATGAGTCCTATGTTGGAACGAAACGTTAGTTTAGTGCCTCGTGATGTTTAATGATACCCCGACTGGCAGCAATCTGTGATGAATATAACTTGAAAATTAAACTATACCCCACAGAAACAATTAACCTAAATTTATATTTATTTAAATAAACACAATATGCATTAAAAATATAATTTGGATATTATAGTCAAACGTCTTTTTAGCAATAATCCACTAATCATATTTAGATCAATATCAAACAATAGAAGTTTTATGGAAAATATTTGTATTTTTCACCATATTGATTATGTGGATATATAAGAATTAAATGTAGTTTTCATCAAGAACTGATGTCAATCTAGAAAGCGGCAATCTGCGAAAGTAATCAATTTTTAGGAATGAGATATTGGTGTACTAATAGAAGACATTGATTATGGTTACAAATTGATAAGGCAAGAAAAGAGTTAACAATTATGCTCTGTCGTATTAGGTAATCGTATTATCCTCAAAACATGAAGTTCATAAGATTCATGCCTGTATATGTGGGAGGGGCGATGATGAATGAGCATTGTTAAGTGGTTTGGAACTACGAGGAATCCATTGTTCAATGCTCTCTAATTGTAACTAGTTCTTTAACAGACGCCAGTTTATCGTAAATTATGGTTCAAAGGCTACAAGTAGAAATATAAAAGAATAGCTATCATCCTATCACATTTTTTTAGAAAAGATAAGGAATAAAAGTGATAAAGTCAAATTAAAATTACGACATGCTATCTAGAATACCAACCGGATCTAAATTACTAGTAAACACTCAACATTTTTTGTAAGTGAAATAATATTACGTCGGAATAATACAATATAGGAGTATGTACCACATAAACTTGACCCAATATAAGATTGATTTTGTTCAAGGCTATTTGTTAAACTATCAACCTTATTCACGTAATTAAAAATAAACGTTATCAATGTTCGTATACATTAGTATAAGATCTGGAGCAACAGTTTAGTGCTCTAATTTATCCGTATAATCCACCTATTAATGTCGAACTTACATACTAACGTTAGTTAGAAGGAATCAAAATAAATCAACGTGTTATACTTACCTTGTCAGCGCTAATCATAAAATAAAATAATTCTGACTGCATAACCATGAAAAATAGCAGCGAGGACATCATTTGGTAGCTGACTGATAAATAACAAGGGATTGTGTAAACATTTCAGAGATTTAGTCTTCAATTCACTGGACAACTCTAACTCACTGCTACAGAACTAACCTGACTTGATTAGTTAGTTCAAAACAACGTGTAAAATACCATCTGAAACTAGATCTGCTTCCAATGGGAGACGTGGATCACATACACAAACCTAAATCAAACTTTTGACCGGGTACACAAAATATATTAGTCAGTTGTTCTTTTTTCGGTTATATAATGATTCCATATCAAACAACAACAATTCAGATTTTGAACTCTTAAAAAACAAATAGTTTGTGAGATATCAGTGACTTTCTCACAGGTTGAAATCATGAGTCAGTTGAAGCTAGACCACCATTGAAAACCTGGAAGCACTGGACGGCCGTTTCGTCCTGATATGGGACTCCTCAGCAGTGCGCATCCACGATCCCGCACCACACGGGGCTCGAACCCAGGACCTGTTATTGAAATACCATCATAATCTTTACTTTTATTCATGTTAATGATGTGAATCTAGTCAAAGCAACTTTGTTAATCAACACCTTTGGTCAACATGAAGGATTTAAAGCTGATTACATTATCTGATATCATAGGTTATTTACCTTTGTACTTAAATAATCAAGAGTATCAGGCTGATCATTTATTAAGATCTGAACACTTAGATTCCAAATGAGTAAACTAATGACTCCTCGCACTTCTTTTTTGCTTGACTATGTTTCTTTCTACCTTCAGACTGTAAATCCCACAAATAGCTGATTTTTAGCTTACCATCATAAATAAATATTTGTGAACTCAAAACTCTATCTTAAAGGAGCTTGTTCTATTATTTTTTCTACATATTAACACGATGAAGTGATTCTACATCAGTAAAACATGGCAGTCACCCGTTAAATAATTCAACAAGTAATAACAAATAAAAAAATCCCCGTGTTATTGTGAAAACAAGATCATTCAAGACAAAACCGATCAATCTGAAAAGAAAGACGGAAGGACGATAACTTTCAATGTCGAAAATTATGATGCCACTATATGTTATTATGGTAAAACGTGGCTAATAGACTACAAAAATATTTAAATGTGTTTGAAATGCACTTCCTCCCTTGAAATTCATCTTCATAAAACCGAACATATTGGTATTAGTGTCAAAAGCCTTCTTTTGTGTGCATAAAAATGATTTCAAATCCGTGCTTCATTAAACTGCGGGAGACTATCAGAACTTATCAAAATATATGAGATAAAATTTTATTATTTATCAAGACGATCAAAAGTTTTGTAATTTTAATCGTTCTAAAGGAAAATAAGATACTGACATTCTCCATGGAAGTAACATTCAAAGTGAAAGCTGTCACAGAATTCGTCCACTTTACAATAATGAGTACCAAGATTTTACTAAGCAATTATGTTTAACAAAGTACGCATACATATATGTCATAAGCAAGTTTATTTTGCGAAAGAAACAGACTTAAAATGGAGTGTTTCAGAGCCTTTACATGGTTCATTATACTGCTTTGCATACTCAAAAGCAAATATTTTCTTTTCAGTAGTCAGATTGTTTTAAAATTACTTGGCTAATTTTTAGTTAGTAACTAATCCTTGTAAATTTTTTATAAGGCCGATTAAAATGAACGTCTATGTATTAAGAGACCTCTCACAGATTCAACATCTATATTAATCTAACTTTGCCAACAGTCAACCACAATATCAGTATTAACCTGAAGTAGGGATTTAGCCAGTGCACATTTCTGTCAAATTTACAAGCTTTTGTGCTTTCCTGCTCTTAAGCCAAGCCATAGTAGGATACTTCTACACAATGATGGTTACATCACTCCAAGTCTCATTCAACTTGCAAAACACAGTGTCTTCAAGTATGGTCATTGCTTTCTCTTCAACTTGTGAGCCGGCTCGCTGGCTAGTCCATCAGAGTACATATTGGGCAGTCCTGAGAAGCACTAGCCAATATACTGAATTTCAGTGCTTCTGATCACTACATAGCCATTCGAACACAATGTTTAGTCTGCACTGGAAGTGATACGTAAATGACTTTAACTTATATGTATTTCACGCTAGCTAACCTGTTAATTTTAACCAGCAAACGTCAAGAACAGATCCAAGATCCTACTGTATTCTCAACTCACCAGGTTGTTAGAAATAGTTCAGACTTATCATCAAGTTGGGTGATATGGATTAATACAAATTCAGACTAATTCAAACGCATTAATGTTTTATCCTCAAATTTTGAATGCAACAACACTTCATCCCGTAGTTCAGATTTTGTTGGTCTTTTTCTTACTTTTATTCTACAATGCTATTTTGAATATTGATTTTTATTTGTTGCACCTCTTTGCGTTACTCTCATCTAACCATGATAACATAAATGGTGACAACCTGAAAAGATTGATATTTTTGACACTACTTTTATCTGTCTAGTTACAGACAAAGCAAAACGGTGCCATGTCAATCTGGATATATATGCCATATAAACCACAATTTGAATTCTTTCTATCTATCCGTTTGCAAGCAAAGCAAGATCTGACCCAAACAAAAATTTATCCAAAACCACTAAGTCTAAATTAAAACCAGTTTAAGGAAATAAATAATACAAAGTTATCAATCTAATAGAAATTCACCATACAACGATCTAATGAGGATCTGAAACCAAAATTCTCTCAGAATTCGGGCCAAAATTGCTACACATCCTGTCTGTATGTAATATTTTTTGAAATGCCTTAGAATATTAAGGTATTCAAAGATACAATGTGACTCTGCTTGTTAGGGAAACCTTGTAACACAGTGTAATGGAACCGTACATTATGCATTTATAAAGTGTAACCAGACAATCAGGAAACTTGCAAAAATTAAACTCTTCTTACGCATAGCCCACTGGTTGATTTCTAGTAGATACTTTCTTGGCACATATGGATGATATATATTTATCACAGTATCTGTCACCACCTTGAAGAGGTAGTTCTTCTTGATTCTTGACAACGTTTATATCCAGGGATTTTGAGGTAGACATGGAAGATGTAACTTCATTCAGTGAAGGGACTGTATACGAAGAAAAACTTGTTGGCATTGTTGAACGGAGTTTCGATCTACTTAAATTAACTCCGTGGTTTTGTGAATATCTAAAACAATAGCTCATGGAAATATGTTGTATATCCATACCTGTAAGCCCTATAAGAATCTAAAAAACTTCTTGGGGCATCACGAATATCAAACCGATTTGGGCTTGCATATCTTGTAATTCGATCACTCTGAACAGAAGAACAACTGTTTACAATTTCATGCATGCTAGCTGATCTCATTTCTGAAGAGCTCACGTCAAACGTTTTTAGATATTCCACATTACTGGTATTGCTTTCATGCTGCATAATTTCTATGACGGAATTAAAAACCCCTTTTTATCACAAGAATAACTCTGTCCTTGTATTCTCACTGATGTTAAAATCATCATGAGGTCTCGAGTAGTTATAAAGCAATTTAAAATACTCCATCCATATTTTTGGAATATTCGGAGTTATACAACCATATATTCATTTACATGACCGGAATAAATAATACAAGAGGCTGCAGTTTCATAACTGAGTGTCAATCAGTTACTGTTGAAAAGTGATACGAAAAAACAAACATTGAACTAAAGCTGATTTCAATTTCACTTCGAAAAGACAGAAAGTCGAGTGGCCTGTTTTAGTCTTGACAATAGCTCTCTCTCATACGATCTAATTTTCTTTTGAAATTGTCAGCAGATTGAGCACCAATTGCGTCTTAAGCTGGTGAATTCCATTCGTTGATTATTAGATGACAAATAATTTGATATAGACTTGTGAACCATTTTAGGGTATCCCCATAAAATCTTTGTTTTATAAGACAGGGAAAATAAGGGAATACCGGATGCAAATTTACCTCCAAGTAATTTAAAGACTAACCACGTCGCCTCTAACTCTTCTATATGACAATAGAAATAGGTTTAGTTTAACCAGTTGAGTTTTGCTATTCCGGAAATTGGCTTAGTTGCGGTTTGATGGACCGTTTCTAACGGCTCATTGTCTGTTTTTACGAAGGGATCAGCCATTTGTACGCATTACTCGAGTTTATGACGAAGGATACTCTATACAAAGTCAAAAAGGTTTTAGTGTCAGCATGGCTAAAGGCTCAACATATTGACCATAAGTTCATAGAACCTTTGGTGGCTATCCAGTTGCAGTGTGTAATAGGTTTTAGGTCTTGGCTAACTATGAATCCTAGATCACTGTGTTTATGGACAACAGGTAGTTCAAGTTCGATAGAACAATTAGAATACGAAGTTGATCTGAAAAATGCGACGAACTGCTTTTATTCACATAAGGGAAGTCTAAGTTGACGAGTAGCCGAGGTTCTATAAGCCTGAGAATTTGTCCTTGGCACCTTCTATACAACGTCTTAAAGGCCGCATTGGTGTCAATCCTGCGTCCCGTTTCATTTATATCCTTTGTTACTGATGAACATAGTTTCCTAATTCCCGCACTGATCGGAATCTTTGACAGTAAGATTTATGGAACATGTGCCTGGATGACTTTAAAATCAATTGACTCAGACAACAGCCGGTTGTAAGGAACTTTGCCAACCGCCTTACTGAATTCAATGTAGGCTACATCGATAGGTAGCTTTTGAACTTTAAGAGTGCATCAACTTTTATGGGCTACTAATAAGTTTGTGAGACACGAATAACCTATTCTAAAGCCATTGTACTTTTGAGAAAGAATCTAGATTTCGTAATGGTATTCAAACAACTACTTTCGAATAGTCTTTTCTATAATTTTAACAACCACACTGGTTAGACGTACGGGTTGGTAGTTATTAGGTTTGTGTCACTTGTCTGATTCAGAGATAAAACTTACTGTGATATTCTTCCAGCCCTTTTGTATTCTAACCTGGGTTGCGGATAGATTAAAACATGCTTAACAAATTTGCGACAACATTTGCTAGTTCCTGAAGTAAAATATTATACATCTCATCAACTCCTATGGATTTGCCTATATCAAGCCCATTTGGCAGACTTAATGGTCACAGTGTCCACAGTGTATGTGAGGCGCTGAATGAGCTGAAGGAGAAGGTATCTCTAGGGTAATTCGAGAATACCTGAGCTCCACCATAATCATCCTCCACTAATGATGCAGTACTACTGTCTCCCCATAGTGCTGGGACATCTCTCCTCTTAGTCCTTTGGTTAATGTATAAGCATAAGTGTTTAAGGTATTCTATAGACTCCTTAACAAGTTTTTTTGCTACAACCTTCTTGACTTGCGGAGGGTTGAAGCACAGATGTTTGAGCTCCACGATATTGAGATTCTGTCTCGTCGGTGCCCACTAGCCTAAATATCTTCTATTCTACTCTTACAGAGTAGGTCATGAACCTCTTTGCTGAACCATATCACGCAAAGATAAAAACTGATAACCGGAAAACGGTGAAAAATCGTAAAATGTTAGATATATAGTCAAACAAGTGAAACGGCAAATGTACTAAAAAAGTGCGGATGATAAATTACATTCTAAAACCTTACTCGTGATGTCATTTTAACATGTTTTTGTCATAACTACATGATGGCTGCTTGATATATCATTAAATCTTTATTCTTATTGACTAGGAGCATTGGATGAATTAAAAGTTTCTGATGGGAACACATTAAATTTAAGTGTTTGAATCTTGTCATTGGTGAGCCATATATGTTCAAACGTGTAAACGCCTTACTAACTGATAAGTCCTCAAAAAAGCAGAATATCATGCCCGAAAATAATTTTTACTGCTGGTCTTTTTACTTGCAGTTTATAAAAATGTTTAAGAAACTTTCCACAGTTATTTCGAAGCTACGAACTACTATATTGAATTTCCTGATAATGCTTGCCCGAGTAGCATTAAATTTGCTGAGGTTATCAAATTTATCCATAGGGGTAAAGTGGTAAACTGTAATCTACCATTCTTGTTGTGTTGCATGGTCACTCTTATGATAAGTTCTACTGCAACAAGATCACGTCACAGCAAGTGTAACAAATAATAATAATACTTCATTCTCAAATGACAATCTGCCAATTTAAAAGGAAGATCAAATTGTGACAGTCTTCACCGTAAGGGGTTACTCAGTTAGGTTGATATTTCATAAGCTAAATTGGCCATAGAATTACGGGTAATAACACTTCTCACATATGAATGTAAACAATATTAGTAAGACTCGTACTGTCATTATGACGGATTTGTGTTGCGACGTTCAACTAATGGTCGAGAGTAAATCCACAAAAAGTTAAGAGTTTCTAGAGACCGTGACCTTATATTCCTGTGGAATATCTGAGGCTTTAATGATGGCGCAATACAAAGTCACGCGTCCCATATGTGTTTTCAGTGGCATATCTCAAGAGGGTTGAAAATGAGAGTAAGAAAAATAAAGGACGAGAAGCAGAGCAGACAATGTTCATGCCTACTGAAGTTGAGTCATTTGTGGAGGAATAGTTTGTTATGACTACTTAGTCTAATTCTCTTATGTTAAAGTAATTTCGAAGCAACAGCTTTCTAAAAGATTAAAGAAAACAAGCGTAAATAAGCTATGAGTGGATAAAGAACTGTATAAATGGAGTTGGTTTCAAAAGAAGCCAAAATTATAGGATTGTGTGTAGTTTTAAAACATAGTACTGAAAACAGTATTCTGATACACAAATAGCAAACCCTCCTTTTTGTCAAACCTATTTCAGCTCATTTTCATTTTTATGGATTTTATAGGGTCGTGAGCCGACGTTGTTTTTAACGAATTGCCTAGTTTTACTTTTAATAGGATTACTCGGTAGGAAGTTATGCCGATTCACCGTCACAAACACAATTTACAGAGGTATTTTGTATAGTAAGTTAGAAGTACAGAACACATTAACTCTAATAGCTGCTACTAGAGTTGAAAACAAATTTCATGCTTTTAATCATACTGTAAATCTAAGTCCATGTACTGACCAAATAAAAGGAAAATTGCAAACAACAAGTGTAAGATAAATGACAACATAATATCCATAAATTTACCGGAACTCGATAACTTCCCTCTAGATTTTAGAAGCGAACATTATTTCATGTAGTGGAAGTAATGTGATAAGTGATTGAATGTTTCTTCTCCATCGTCATAGTTATTATCCGGTTTTGCTGTAATATTATCCACTGGTACCGATTTCATTGAGTCACTACCGAAGTCAAGTGTCTTAACTCAGAACAGACTACCTGTAAAAAACTAAAACTGAAACTTCCACAAATTGTTTGTTATTTCGCCATTCCTTTGCTCTGTCTTTTATCTCAAGCTTTACTCAGGACTCTTGCAACTGTGTTCCATACTTCTCAGTATTCCTCATCCAAATTTGGTCAAAATTTACCATAATGATTTCACTTTTTTGTTTTATAACGTTCGTAAAACTTTCATCAAACCAGGAGTGAACGGGATTCACCTCGAAGCTTCTAGAGGGATGATAGACCACCCGCCACTGCTGTGGTTGTATAATTACATTCTTACTGATATATTTAGCGTACTCATAATACTTTCTAAACCATCAAGGTCACGTTAAGTGAGTTAAATGTTCACGAATTCTTATATATGTCCTAATCTTGTCGCAATGCCAATTTCGCACTTAGCACCTATTCTCTTGTGTTCAAATTGCTGCATATATTTAGTCCGCACTTATTAGTGGTAGCTTAGAAATCGGGTCTAACATTCAATCGGCAGACTCATCAGCTACTCAGATTCTTTCTCATGCATATTTAACCTCACTTGAAAATGCAGTGTTTTTGGTTCTCAGCTACATGATCCTTGAAGCCATATATGCGGGCATACATTGCCGTATCCTAGTGATGATTAGTATTCACAGTCACTTTACTCGCTTCACCACTACCAATAACTGTTCAACTGTAGTAATGATTAGTCACAATGATACATTAACATATTTTAGCAGCACTTGCTTCAGTAAAATAGGTTTGTTAAGACGCCGGTCACTAACAAATATACCGCCTAATCGGTGTGAGTACACATGGGCTGGAAACCGATGTAAGCAAGGACTGGGTGACTGTCCGGATCTAATTCTTCACATTTCTTCTTAACTAAATGTTTTACTTTGTTTCAAACTATGGACTATCTCTTAGCATCTTTCGACCATTACAATTTCTGTAGTCCTAAAATTATTTCATATTGTTCATTTTTTGTGTTCCATTTATTTGTCAGCACTATTTAGATTCGGACTGAACCAACCGAATAACAAAGTCAACAGCGTCGCTCACACTCAACAAACAGTTACAATGCTGGGTGTTTAGTTTGGTTCACTTTTATTCGTATTACTTGCCACAAATGACTTTTTCTGCCAAGTCCACTGGATAATCTGAGTTCCATAAATAATCCAGAAACGTTTCACACTTTCGCCAAATGATTTACTGTGTTTATGATAATTTTTAACAAGTTTATATTTTTACTTATACTAGCCACATATGTTTCATATAAACCACTCCCAAAACTGTTTTTAGCATTAAATATATTTAATGGCTTCAAATAACATCAAGTACAAAAGAATCATTAGTTCAAACAAACACCACATGAAACTAGAA